CATCTCTATACTCATTCAGTAGAAACCCATGTCCTGTATTTATAGAACCATTATTTATCCTGCACTTGCTGCTATTGCGCTTCTGGTTAGACCTAAACTGCATTTTGTTGCCTTGTACCTGTACCTGTGTAATGACAATAAAGTTGAATCTAATCTAATCTAATCTAATCTAATCTAATCTAATCTAATCTAATCTAATCTGAAGAACTGCATACTACTTAGATGTAAATTAATTGCCATCATGGTTTTGTCAAGCTGCCTACCTTTGTAAAGCAGGAAAAAGACTAATAATGTGAATCCAGTAGAACTTTTTATTGCCTACCTGGAATGGATGACAACAGTTGAATAAACTTTTGGCTCTCAAAATGGTATCGGTGCCCTATTTGTTGGTACTCGCCGATACCGATACCATTTTAATGCAGCATTGGGGGCCCTGTCCGATACTTGTATCGGTGCAACACTAGTTAAGTTGCAACTTTGAATTCTCCATCATCCAAGTTCCGCACATCTACACCTAACTGTAAACCTAAGGTAACTGGTGCTAGAAGTACATTAATCAGAGGGGCAGTCAGGAGGATAGCATAAGCCAGGGTGGGAGCATCATCTTATGGATGCTTTTCCTCATTAGTAACAGGAAAGCTTTTCAGAGTCCATTTGAAGAAAAACAAATGTTGGAGAAATCTGGAAGGAGAACCAAAAGCCTTTAGACTGACGTAAAATTTCCAGCAGGGACCAGAATTAAATCTCTTAGAAAAATAATGGTGAGATTTGAAACTAGATTAGATATTATTTACCTTCATTCGGAGAGTAGACAAAAATATTTTAGTACCAGTGCCAAGATGGTAGTCATACCCAAGAAGACTTGCAGCTATAATTTGAAAGAAAATGTGTTCTATTAAGTTTGGTTTAGGGGAGCTGAATAAGAATTTAACATTTAACAAAAAAAACAAACAAACAAACAAAAGCAGACATTGTCTTATCTTTTTTTCCCCTCAACTTCACAGTTTTGCATCACTGTGTTGATTTGTTACATAAAAACTCACAGAAATGAATAAGTGGTGCAGATTTTTTTATTATGTTTTTATTCTTTTGAGAGGCTCTGCACCATTTCTGAATAAATTATTAGAATGCTTATTTTCGAATAAGTTGGGTTTGACTTGTGAGTTTTGGATTTTATTTTATTTTTTTCCAAGTACACAGAAGGGCTTGTGTGTCCACTACGGTGGGGATAGATGTTTAAAGAAAAAACACCCACAATGTGATGAAACTGCATTCCTTTAGTTTTAGTTTTAAACACAGACACTCCCAAAGTAACTGTCAGACCAGTTCTCTGTATGCTGGTTTTTACTATATAGTGCTTTGTTCAAACATGTTGGAACTGGTTGTCACCCATGAAGATCCCAACAGCGACCAGTTCCAATGACATAACACTTTCAACAGAAGTGTTTGCACCCCTGTGTAAAATAAAACTCTTATCCTTTGTGTAGATCTGGGCATTGTATATCTAATTTTACCATCCTAAGGTGAAATCAGTTTATTATAAGCAATTCTTTGTGTTTAAAAGTTTTGTCTCATGGTTCCTAATCAAAACAATCAACAAGAGGGGAGGCCTTGAGAGGATTGGAAAACAAATGTTAACATTTCAAAGAAGTGTAAGAACCAGGAGCTTAGGCACATTTGTCAATTTCCCAGAAGTGATTTGCAGTTAGTCAATAACACTGCCATTTGGTCCAGTTTGTCTTTGGAGTTCTGAACTTTAAGCCTATTAAGTAAACATCCAGCATGGAAATTACTTTGGGAACATGGCACGCATTTCAGAAAAAAAACGAACAATAATGACGTTGAGTTCAAATAGGGTCATCGTACCTTATTTATATACCTTAGATGTTTCTATCCTGTAAGATACACTGTGTCAGAAGCAGCACTTCCAGTTTTTAATTCATCAGTTTCTTTAAAATTATATTATTATATGATTATGTAAATTGATCAAAAAAAGCTGTAAGATAATAACCCTAAAAATTGAGGTGTAATATTTTGTTTAAATCTTATTTTGTGTATTTCATTAATTATTTTTGCATTTTGTGCATTTTATTCAATATTTCTGAGCAAAAATAATAGATTTATTTGTTTATTTGGTTAGTTATTGATTAATTACTTTATTTTTTATATACTAATCATTCAGTAAAAGGTAATAAGTCAAATTAAGCTGCTTAACCTGATCATTTTGCTTATGCAGATTTTCCTCCCATTCAACAAAAATTGAAAAATAAATATTAGTTTGGGATTTAGTCATAAGATGTTTGTAAAATAAATAGACTAGTTATTAATAAGATGTTAGTAAGCTTTTACACTTTCTAACACTGCTATTAGATGCTGTTTATTGGTTAAAACTGCCTCATGGTGAAAACTCAGGTTGCTAGCATATTTAACTTTAGCATTAGCACTGGTGCTAGAACAGCATACAAATTAACATTGTAGCTTGAAGAAAAAAAAAATATTACCACAAAGTTTCTGATAATTCTTAACCTTAAATGAGATTATATTTTCATTCATAATATAGCCCACATAAACATCAGTTTGATAGTTCCCCACACATGATGAATGGGAACGGCTAACCGCTAAGTTAGCCTGCATTTTAGTTAGATGCAGAATCTGATATCAAAATAAATTATTTTTAAAGCGTAATTGCTAAAAAGCTATTCTTTAGAATCAAATGTAATTCAACACTTATTTGAATGGGTAATAAAATCACACATTTCCTCTATTTTCTAGTGTAATATCAAAACAATCTTCTTTAATTTTAAAAGTTTAAAGCAACAAAGCAGAAATAATTTAGCAGATAAACATACATCAACAGTATCAAAAGTGGACAATTTAAGAAATTTAACGCACTAAATGATTTTAATTAAATGAATTTATTCTTAAATGATGTAAATTCCAAATTGACATACTGAATAAATTTTTTTTTATAATTTTGTTGTTTTGAAACAATTAAGCAGATTAATTGTGATTAATCGATTATTGAAATAATCATCAACTAATGTAGTAATCAGTCGATAACTACTGACTGTAAAATATGCTGTTAGCTGTCAGAGCAACCCACTCTAATTATAATAATTAACATAAAAAAAAAAAAAA